GGCCTCAAACTCACAGAGATCCGCCTGGCTCTGCCTCCCGAGTGCTGGGATTAAAGGCGTACACCACCACCGCCCGGCGAGGTTTTTATTGTTAAGATTAAGTAGGATCGAGCTTCATTCATATCCATCCATTTTCTTTGGAGATCCACTGATACTAACAAGGGCCATGTGTGAAACTGTGTTTGGAGCTATGGACTCAATCAAGCATGGTGGGCTCAGCATAAGAGACACAACTAAAGGCTGTAATTCCCCTTCTCCTAAATTCTATCCATAGTCACAGTTGAGAGGTAAAGGGTGGGACTCTGTCTCACCCCTTCCTAGAATAATAGTGGCTAGGGCTGGTGTTGAGTGAGCCCAGTGCAGGTATGTCCATTTGTTGTGGTTACTGATTACCATAGTTGTGTGGAGTCTGCAGAATGGTAGATCATGCCCATTTCCACGCTTTTTCTTATTTCCTTCCTTCCTCCTCTTCCTTGATGCTTCCAGGGCCATAGATGGATGGTGTAACTGACTTGTTTAGCAATGGGCTCACAGATCTGTGTCTTATCTAAAAGCACCTATAACATGATTCCCAAAAGACAAACTCCTCTTTGAGTCAGCAAAATGATAAGATCATCATCTAGTGGTAAAAGCCCCACAGCACAGGATGAATTCAAGCTTTGCCTGTCAGTAGTGTTTAGACCAGCAACTTGCAGAGACATCTATTTCCTTTTAAATCCAGAGTTCCTGAAATGTCTTCTCCACCCAAAGTTGATGTTGTTAATCATGAAAACCCAGCTATTAAGCCGGGCGGTGGTGGCGCACGCCTTTAATCCCAGCACTCGGGAGGCAGAGCCAGGCGGATCTCTGTGAGTTCGAGGCCAGCCTGGGCTACCAAGTGAGTTCCAGGAAAGGCGCAAAGCTACACAGAGAAACCCTGTCTCGAAAAACAAAAACAAAAACAAAAACAAAAACAAAAACAAAAAAAGAAAAAAGAAAGAAAAGAAAGAAAGAAAGAAAACCCAGCTATTTGGCTGTGAATAGTGGGGAACTTTGAGGGCGGGATAAAGATGGCTCTAAGTGTCACTTCATTTGCATCATGAAGGAAATGATTATCCAGCTTCCCAGGAATGCTCTCCATGGTAACGGTTACTGCATCAACTATTAGAATGTTTTATATCAATGTAGAAGATGCGGCTGTAATTTCACTTTCACATTTTACTAGTGCTACTTGCATGGAGCTTCTGATTATTATTATTTTTTTTAATCATCGTATTTGACTGAGTGACGCAGATCCTCTTGCCTTGTCTACAAGCCCTGATCTTCTGTCTCCTACTTGGTCTCTTCTGGTGGTGAGGCTTTGCATTGGTTTACTATTATGGTTATTGTGTTTTCCACTTCCTGTTTCGCTTCTGTTGTTTTCCTTGGTGTTGCTGACGCCTTACTGAATTCACTTTTCATAGTCTGAATTGTCCTCATTCTTCTAGGACAAGCCATTTGCTTGTGTTTTCTTGTCACTCAATCACTTTGTTCCTGTCCTCTTTGATGTCAGGGTCTTCTTTATGTACTTTGACCTCATTGAAAATTCTTCTGTGGTGTGTGTGTGTGTGTGTGTGTGTGTGTTTGTGTGTGTGTGTGTGTGCTCTGTTTCTCATACTTCATCTACTTTGGCTTCCTTAGGGGACACAGCTATGGAAATGGTGACTTGGGGCAGCGATATTTTATCTCGGTTTGTGTTTGGGGTATGGAAGGATTTGGGGGTGATGTCTTTTTCTGTATGAATTTTTAGACCAGGAACTGGAATCCCAAAATGAGAGGTTAGACTGAACAATTCAACCCGAAGTGGTCAAAACTCAGGACAAGATGGTCCAATAACCAGGGTGCAGCGTCCTCCTAGATCCAGGTCTGGTCCAGGCTGGCAGCGAGCATGTGGGGAGGCTGTGCAGAGCGGGTGCAGGGCAGCCTGACAGCTGGAGCTGTTGGGAAGGCAGCATGAGAAAGAGTGGGAGGGACCGGTTCGTTAGGGCGGGTACACTCACCCGGAAACAGAACTTGGGAGGATGTAGCACATTGGCTGGGTGTAGAGGAAGAGTAGAGAGTGGGTGGGTTTAGAGGAGTGACGTAGGCGGAAGCTGGGAATCCTCGTGGATGAGGACAGGGAAGTGGACTGAGGAGCCAAAGCCAGAAGTGTCAAGTGCCCGTTGCCTGTCGTTTTCTCGGGTCCTGAACGGTGGGGAACCGCGTGGTGCAGACCTGGGTGCGGACACGGCGGGGTGTCGCGGGGACACGAAATCTCCCCGGAGCCGCAGTCGCCGCGCGGGGCGGCCTGGGAAAGTCACCAGTCAGCAGCGCAGTGGCGGGAACCGCAGCCCGGCGGCCCTGGAACCTCCCAGGTCAGAGGAGCTGCGGGGCTGGGACACGGGAGGGGAGGGACCGGGGGTGCGCGCAGTTTCTCTGCTGTTCATAAGGAAGCTGGCTCTGAAGTTCTGTTGTGGATCACTTACCCTTGTCGGTAAATTTTGGATAATATGAACTGGAACAATCCTGATTTTTTTTTCATTAACCTTCTAGTCGCCAAACTATTCTTATAAGAATACGCTAGTAGAATATTTGAATTTATCTGTTGACATTTGCAAACACTCTACTCTTTGCTGTGGTGGATAAGACAAAGCTGTTGAAATTCACATTCATCCTGCTAACTGCCATGTTAAACCGCTTGGCACATGGACCTGGGGAGTTGGCATCCCCAGAGTCCTTTTAGATAATAGTCCTCAAAGGAATGCTTGCAGATTTGATTGAATCTGAAAATATCCCCCCCACACCACCACCACAGGTATGGTTGTATACATTAACATTTAAAAGCAAACTTTTTTTTTTTTTTTTTTG